CTTGGAACAAAAAGAAACAAGTAGCTCTTATATGTTTACTTACACTCTAACTCTGGTTTCGACTTTTGTTTTTTATCTATATAAAGGCCCAGTAGTATATCAATTTCTGTCTATGGCTATGCTAGAGAAAAAGAAACTACTGCGGAAAATGCGTTCTTCCATACCAATCAAAGAGGAGCGCAGCAATTCTTCAGATTGTTAAAAAAGCGCTGGAAGTACTGTCTACTTCTTAAGATGAGTAAGCCTATGAGTCGATGTTATGCAATCATAAGATTTCAGAGAGTTTAAGCTTCTGGATGTAGGTTGAATTCAGGAGCTGTGGACTTTATCTATAATACAAACGTTTTAAGAGAAGGTAATGGAAAAAAAATTGTTTTATTATTTAAGGTCGTGACTATTTTTTGTTACTTCTTCTTGTACACTTAGACTTGGCTGATTGGCTTTTGTCTTCATTGTGTTTGACCCTTTTCTTAGGTTGAGAAGAGGGAAAAGGTGGAGAAGGAGAACAAGGACGACAGTTGTTTTCCATTCCGAAAAGATTTCATCTTCAGAATCCTCAAATTCATCACCACAATATAGGCTTGCGTACTCTAAAGAAGGCTTTTCATTTCGAAGAGATTCAACACTAACTTGGTTTTCACTGTATAGTTTTGATTCATCTTAGGCATTTCAAAGTTTCATTGAATGCATGTTTTGCGTTTGTTATACCTGATCCTTGAGTTATTCTCTCTTTCAACAACAGAAGCCTTATTTCTTGTTCTATTACTTCTGTGCTTGTGTGTTTCGAAGAGCAATAGACCGGCTGCCCAGGAATGCTGACATCTTTGAAGAGGAAAGCCATGAGTAGCTGCATTGCTTTCAAGCTTAAATGTGTATTTTGCGATTAGAGCAGAAGGCACTTCAGACCATAAAGGCAACACAGTTGCTTTGTCATTCTTCTTCAAAGCTTTCAGCAGCTCTAACTCCATTTCATCGTGGGTATTTTTGGCGATTGTTCTGAGGATCCCGTAGTCATTCTCATTCACTTTATCATCAATTAAGAGATCAGTGATATTTTTTCTTTCTTGAATAAATTGATCAGGGCAAGCAAACGCAACCGTGGCGTAACATATCTATATTATCCATGAGAGCCGAATGCTTTTGTTGCTTCCTCAAGTACTCTAGGAATGCCTCAATAGCCCATCAAGTTTAGATTAAGAGAGTTGGCAACACCGCCTTCTCTTGCTGCATTTTTCAGGAAGAAATAAAAGTTTATACATATCTTAGAGAAATAGCTTGTTTTTTTACCTTGTTGAGCTGCTTCAAGAACTTCACTGTTGATCTCATTACTATCACTTTAGGCAAAAGAGGGTGCTAATAAATGCATCAATCCCTTAAGTATTTGAGTCTGTGATTCGATTTTTTGTTCGAGTTGGGAAATTTGTTGTTTGCATTTGCGTGATTTTGTAAATAGTCGTTTGGTTCATACTTGTAAGACAGAAAGACAATTGCAAGAAAAACCAAAAAGCTATTTTTGCTAAAAAAAACCTAAACAATTGCTAAATATTCTATACAACTCAATATACTCTTTTTAGATGAGTCTCATCTCAAACTCTTAGGAGTGCATCAACGTATTGCATTGTGCAAACTTTTTTTTTGTTTTTAATAAGAAACGTTATTAGTATTATTGTACTTGTAAAAAAAAAAATAAAGAATTCTTCTTGCTCATAAAGCTACTATTATTGTCGCAGTACTTGTCGCCTCATAACTTTTATTGTTGACAAAACGAACAAGTTTGTTCCCCACAAACAATAAAATTAATGATTTTGAATGATATGACTTGCTTTCTAGAAAAATAAAATAAAAGTTGTTGACATTTCGAACAACATTAGCAAAAAAGTTACTTTTTCTTGTTTGTTTTGCGAACAATATTAGTAAAGTCAAACAACTAATCCGCCATAGTGATAAGGTCAATCTGGAAACGAGATTTGTACCACTAAATTTTTTAGAACAAATATGCTTGTTTATTTAATATTACGTATTCACCAATACAGCTTTGTTCGATTGTAGCAGATTGTTCTACTATGGTTTAGAGTAACAAATAATTCAGTAAAATGTGATGAAAAAAATACTAAAAAATTTGCACCTTTAGTTTCTTTGTATCGTCTTTCCTTTTGCGTTTCGTTCTCATCATTGGCTGCGACAATTATTCCTTTACCTTGATGTCAACCCATATGCTACTTTAGCTGCCTATGTCTATCAAATCACTATCCTTGTCTGATTTGAACTGATTTCCTGTTTATATTAGCTTTTGTATATAGCTAGTGCTTAAATTGTGGCTGTGTCTTTCAGTGTCTGTAACGCTATCTTCTTTTTCGCTTGCTGTTTCCCTTTGAAATCAATCCATGATACTGGTACATACCTATCGCTTGCTTTGGCAATTGCTGTTTCCTTTTTTCTATTTCAAGTTTAGAAGAACTTTATTTTGGTGATTCTTTGACTATAGGGCTTCTTTTTTGTGGTATTTATGTACCGGCAACATTTTTATTAGGTGCTACTGCTTTGAAAATTTTATGTCCAAGCGTTTGTCCATCTGTGTTGATGCTGATCGTTAATTGTGTAGTGATGCTCTTGCATTCAATAGATCTATGTCTTTTGTCTTGTCTATCAACTGAGGTAGAGAAAACTTTGCTGTATCCTCTTGTCACTCAAGTATTTGATGGTTACCAAATGAAGACCCATAGATGATATTAATAATGAGGTATGCATAGTGGTATTATGAGCCATAAAGTAACTTATTCAATAGGTGAGGGAAATTGTCTGGTGATTGACATAAGGGTTTTGATGATGTACTACTTCAGTATACTGATCATATAGAAGCGCATTTTTTTCTTCAGTTGATATGGTATACGTACAACAATAGATTTAAATTGCTTCAAAAAAAGGTAAGCTACCAAATTAAACCGGGATGTGCTTACTCATTGCGTTTTCTATTCTGGTCTGATGCTTCTTAAAAAGTAACACACCTTCACTTAAGCTGCTTCGAGAAAACATCACTATTGTTTATGAATGCATATAAACTTCAGGTTTCGTATGTGTCCTATTATCGGGAAGAATGTCTACCAGTCTGTATATTATGTAGTCATATACTATACCATACAATGCTAAATTGCGTCTATCATATAACTACTGTAATGAATGTATCTGAGTGAGCTTTTTTGCTATAAACCAATGCGATTGATTCAAATAGAAAGTTTGCTTGGTCAACCAAATACCGAATGCATAAATAAAAAAGTCTGTTGACCGTTGGTATGAGAGTTGCTTCATACTAATGTCAACCAGAGGTTTATTTAGTGAAATCAGTTCGCATGGAGTCACTGGTAACAACCAGGAAGGCAAAACTGCTAGGCGTGATATTTTGCTCACTTTCAAAAAACTAGAAACCCAAAAAATTGTCAAAATCGTCATTTAACGGACGAATGCCTACTGTCAAAGCGCATGTATTTGCAGAGTTGCACTGAAAAATCTCATTTTGTTTCCTAAAAAACACATATGGCAATTGGGCAACTGATGTCTTAATTGATACACTTTTGTAATATAAAACCAGTTACAAAAAAAAAAAATACGACGCAAAAAGGCTAACCCATAAAGTATAATTAAATGTAAAAAATTTTTTTTTAAAAAAATTTTGAAAAATAATTTAATTAAAAAATTAATTGTAAAAATTTTAATAAAAATTTTAAAAAAAAATTTTTTAATAAATTAATCTGGCAATTTTGTTAATTTATTAAAAATCTGGTAAAAAAAAAAATTTTAGCTTGTACCTCAAATTGTTTTTAAAAACAAAAATTTTTTTTAAAAAATATTATTTTTTTTGTACAGTTTTCGACTAAAAACAATTTTTACAAATGTTTTTAAAAAAAATTTTGTTTATTTTTTAAGTTGTTTTTTGTAATTTATGTTATTACTATTGTTGTTTTTACAATATTTTTGGTAATCTTCTTTTATTTTTTTATTTTTACGCAAATTGGCAGATTTGTATGTCGGCATACATAATTTTTGCATTTATCTAATTTTGGGCAGTTTTAATTTAACACAAGCAGACCATTTTTTTTCTGTTTCATATGAAAGTTTGAAGTGTCAGTCAAATGGTTATCAATCAACTTTTGAGATATGGGAATTGTTCTAAAGTATCAGTGGGCAGAAAACGTCCGTTGGTAATTTGCTTAAAGATTGTTTGAGTGCTTACCTGCGATAAACTTTGATGGTATGGTCTTCTTAATCACAACAATTCGCATATAAAGATATTTATTCTTGTCTTCAAATGCTTGAGGCGAGGATATGGGTCAATCGATGGCATCAAGTAAAATCTGTAAAATATAATGAAAATACCACAAGAATTGATTTATAAAGGAAGCGGACCCAGTTTTTTTGTTATGTCCACACCACAATGGTTTTGTTTCCAAGACTAATTGGAGATTTACCTATCAAATGTCGCTGGATAAAAATTAGAGGGATAGTATTGTGAGATTAAATCATGTCTGTATTTGAAATCAATAAAATGATCTCTTTTCTCTTATAAATATTTGTGATACGACCATCAGTTTTTACATGGTGAGGCTTTTAGCCCTATATTTATAATTAAGAGGTCAAACAGTAATACATTTTTATCACAAGCCAAACGAGTCCGCAGAGCATCTACACCTAATCTAACTTTCAACTTTTACTTCGACGAGTCACAACTTTTATCGTTCGAAGAAATTGCAAACCGTATACGACAACGTCCTCGTAGAAACTCGACTAGCTCAACTTCGACCACTTCCACCTACCACACAGCAGCTATCAACTTCATGTCAGGTTCACAAATCTCATTCAACAGGAATTCATCCAACGATTCCCCAACATCAGCGGCCGAGATACCATTCCCTGGTACATGTTACAATGCTTCCGACTTTCATATTTATTTGATGAATAAAAATGCTAGGACCGTTCCTAGTAATCGATACGATCACAAACAAAGTATGCGAGTATGGCTGACAGATTTCGAACATCATGCAAAACTTCATGGAGTCAGTAACTTGGATTTATGTGCACGATATATTGCCAGCTATATGCCTCAAGATATCCAGAACTGGCTATCACGACGAGCTCCACCAATTTTGGTCAAATGGACTCTCATGAAAGAAGCTTTGATTGGTAGATTTGGTATTTCAGAGGAAATCGACAATAAGCGACGTCTCAAAGAACTCAAAAAATGTCGTAAAGATCCTCATGAACCTATTCGATTACATGCTACAAAATTTGAGTATTTATCAAGTTTGATCGCTGAAAAATCTACTGAAGATTCAAAAATTACTATGCTCATTCAGTCTTTGGATAAGACAGAGACCAGACTTTCATTGATAGCTTTACAGGCAGCACTTGATCTCAAAACTTTGGATGAAGTTATCAATGAAGCAATGGAAGTTGAAGACAAAGCCAGACTTCAAGAACACCCGCAAACTGCTCAATCAGACGACGATAACGATGCAACTACGCGGATGGATGTTGATAATTTTCAGAGAGGCTCGAAACCATTCAAGCGACACAACAACAATCAACAACCACGTTTCTCTACACAGATGAGAGCTTTCGACAAGGCTGGAAATCCTATTTGCGATTTTTGTCGAAAAACACATCGTACCATAGATTGCTATCAGTACCAGAAGAATAATTCTCACAACAATTATTCAAAGTTTCACAAAAGAAACCAGCATACAAAAAGCACTCAAAAGGCTTCAACAACGTGGAAACACAACCTGAAAACAGCAACATCACTCCTATGTCTGTGGATATTAGTCATTTAGCAAACATGAAGAAATCAAGATTGCCAAGAACTAGACTGGTTATTCAACAACAGCCCTGTATTGGCTTATGGGATACAGGCGCAGAGATTAGTGGTTTCAGCAAATCATTAGTCGAAAAAATTGGTGTACCAATCGATACTCGCACTATCATTCCATACCGGGATGTAAATGGTAACATCAATAACACATGTGGTACAGCTCAGTTGACTTTTGGCGGTACTTCTTTCCAAGTACATGTTATTAAAGGTCTAGCGCATTATCTAATTATTGGATGGGACACAATTACAGCATTACAAGGACTAGTCGATGCTGGAACCAAAACAATAACCATTCAGTTCAACAACAAGACAACATCTATACCAACAATTCAAGACAGTCAATTCTTGAACGCTATACAAGCCGACAATAATCCAGAAACAGTCAAACAAATGATCCTTGCAGAATACAAAGATGTAATAGCTGATAATCCAAACAAGCCAAAAGTTACGCATCTTGTAGAATTCGAAATCGACACAGGTGATCACGACCCAGTTTTTGTAAAACCAAGAACATTTCACCCAGAACTGGAGCGAAGAATCAATCAGCGATTGGATGAAATGTGTCAAGATGAAATTATGACCAAGATTTCATTTTCAAGATGGGCAGCAAACGTACGGCCAGTGGATAAACCAGATGGATCTCTTAGAATCTGTGGTAATTATATTCCTCTCAATGCAATTACTACTCCTATACAGTATCCGTTTGTCAGCATTCACGAAGCATTACAAAGCATGGGAAAAGCCAAAGTGTTTACAAAAATCGATTTGGCATCCGGGTATTATTAGATTCCGATCAAAGAAGAAGATGAGGAGAAGACACACTATGGCGGATTAGTTGTTTGACTTTACTAATATTGTTCGCAAAACAAACAAGAAAAAGTAACTTTTTTGCTAATGTTGTTCGAAATGTCAACAACTTTTATTTTATTTTTCTAAAAAGCAAGTCATATCATTCAAAATCATTAATTTTATTGTTTGTGGGGAACAAACTTGTTCGTTTTGTCAACAATAAAAGTTATGAGGCGACAAGTACTGCGACAATAATAGTAGCTTTATGAGCAAGAAGAATTCTTTATTTTTTTTTTACAAGTACAATAATACTAATAACGTTTCTTATTAAAAACAAAAAAAAAGTTTGCACAATGCAATACGTTGATGCACTCCTAAGAGTTTGAGATGAGACTCATCTAAAAAGAGTATATTGAGTTGTATAGAATATTTAGCAATTGTTTAGGTTTTTTTTAGCAAAAATAGCTTTTTGGTTTTTCTTGCAATTGTCTTTCTGTCTTACAAGTATGAACCAAACGACTATTTACAAAATCACGCAAATGCAAACAACAAATTTCCCAACTCGAACAAAAAATCGAATCACAGACTCAAATACTTAAGGGATTGATGCATTTATTAGCACCCTCTTTTGCCTAAAGTGATAGTAATGAGATCAACAGTGAAGTTCTTGAAGCAGCTCAACAAGGTAAAAAAACAAGCTATTTCTCTAAGATATGTATAAACTTTTATTTCTTCCTGAAAAATGCAGCAAGAGAAGGCGGTGTTGCCAACTCTCTTAATCTAAACTTGATGGGCTATTGAGGCATTCCTAGAGTACTTGAGGAAGCAACAAAAGCATTCGGCTCTCATGGATAATATAGATATGTTACGCCACGGTTGCGTTTGCTTGCCCTGATCAATTTATTCAAGAAAGAAAAAATATCACTGATCTCTTAATTGATGATAAAGTGAATGAGAATGACTACGGGATCCTCAGAACAATCGCCAAAAATACCCACGATGAAATGGAGTTAGAGCTGCTGAAAGCTTTGAAGAAGAATGACAAAGCAGCTGTGTTGCCTTTATGGTCTGAAGTGCCTTCTGCTCTAATCGCAAAATACACATTTAAGCTTGAAAGCAATGCAGCTACTCATGGCTTTCCTCTTCAAAGATGTCAGCATTCCTGGGCAGCCGGTCTATTGCTCTTCGAAACACACAAGCACAGAAGTAATAGAACAAGAAATAAGGCTTCTGTTGTTGAAAGAGAGAATAACTCAAGGATCAGGTATAACAAACGCAAAACATGCATTCAATGAAACTTTGAAATGCCTAAGATGAATCAAAACTATACAGTGAAAACCAAGTTAGTGTTGAGTCTCTTCAAAGTGAGGAGAGACATTCATGATCATGTAATTATAATAGTATAATAAAAATTAAAATTAAAATAGAAATTAATATTATTTTGTAAATTGATAATCAAGCAATAAATATATCTACAATCCCTAATGATTAAGTTACAAAAAAACTTAGTCATGCTTTTTTTGATTGATTTTTTTAAAGAAAAAAAAATTATGAGATGTTTGAAGCTTGCGAAATATCTCACATTATCTGCTAATAATTATTGATGGTAAATAGAAATGTTTCTCGAGGTGCCTTCTTTGGAGGATTCTGAAGATGACATCTCTTCGGAATGAAAAAACAACTGTTGTCCTTGTTCTCCTTGTTCTCCTTCTCTACCTCTTTCCTCTTCTCAACCTAAGAAAAGGGCAAACGCAATGAAGACAAAAGCCAATTAGCCAAGTCTAAGCGTATAAGAAGAAGTAACATAAAATAGTCATGACCTTAAATAATAAAACAATTTTTTTTCTATCACCTTCTTTTAAGACATTTGTATTATAGATAAAGTCCACAGCCCCCAAATTCAATCTACATCCAGAAGATTAAACTCTCTGAAACCTTATGATTGCATAACATCCACTCATGGGCTTACTCATCTTAAGAAGTATACAATACTTCCAGAGCTTTTCTAACAATCTGAAGAATTGCTGCGCTTCTCTTTGATTGGTATGGAAGAACGCACTTTTCACAGTAAAGTTTCTTTTTCTCTAACATAGCCATAGACAGAAATTGATATATTATTGGGCCTTTATAAAGATGAAAAACAAAAGTCGAAACCAGAGTTAGAGTGTAAGTAAACATATAAGAGCTACTTGTTTTTTTTTGTTCCAAGTTTGGACATGAAATGTCACATCGCCTCGTCCCGGTACTGGTGAGTGTTGTTTTGGAAAAGAGTTTTGACATTGCCTTGTTCTAATTTAATTAATTTGTTTGTTTTATATGTTTAGATGAGATTAGTCTGCTTTAATCTGTAGATGGCTCTATTTTTGTCACTTGAAAGCTAACATAGCGCCTTTTTTTTCTAGATTTCAGAACAGTTTCTTGCTGTCTCTTGGTTTATAGTAAGTTTGATATGTTATTACACACTTTCAATATACTCAAAACTAACTTTTTTTTTCTCAAAAAAGAATGCCCTTTTAAAGGAATTGACTATTTATCCGTACGACATGCACTTTGTCAGGTAAGTTTGATGGATAGCAAGATGGTGGTTTTTTCCTTTTTTTTTATTAAAAAAACCATATACTACATACAAATTATTTTCTGTGTCTATCAGTGTTGTCTCAATTCCGAATGACAAAGCGAGTTGCTCATTTAACACTCTTGCCTCGCTTGTATACTTTTGTTTTTATTAGATTCAAGTAGTGCTTCTTTTCTTTATTATAAATGGAAAAAAACGATACTTTTATTGAAAAATAGTAACAGTCTAACTTCTAGTAATCCAAAAACAATAAGTGAGGTTACGAACAATGTTGGTAACTAAAGCACCAAAAAACTTGGTTATTCTGTAGCCAAAGTTGTTCCAGAAGTAAACAAGTAATTGCTGTTTTGTTGCTAATATTGTTCGAAAAGCGAACAATAAATTTAGTTGTTTTGTTACTAAAGTTGTTCGAAAAGCGTACAAATAATTTGGTAACATTTCGAACAACTTTGTACATTGAAAAATTGATGCCAGCTATTTCTCAAACAACCATTTTGCTGTAAAAATTGGTAATTTTGCGAACAAAAATTGTACGATTTGTAACTAGCTTTTCCGCCATAGTGCCAGTACATCCCAGATGACACGTCTGTCGACAGTATCATAAGCAGCCTTGGTGTCAAGAAAAGCAACAACAGGACGGCGATGGTTGGTTAGAAAGTAATCATGCATCAAGTCATGCAAGCATAGAGCTTGATCCAGAGGACTACGTTGAGGACGGAAACCACCTTGCGCAATGTCCAGTGTAGGCGAGTGTTCATGAAGACAATCAGCTATTGTAAACTTAAAGAGCTTACGCATGACTGATGTCAACGAAATCGGTCGATAGTTGGACGGATCAGAGGGATCACCTTTTTTGTGTATCGGGTATACATTAGCAAGACGCCAGAGAGAAGGAGTATAAGCCCATTGATAACACAGGGAGAACAGGAGAGACAAAAGCGGGGCAAGGTCCTTGGTCACGGCCTTCAGCATTTCTGCTTTCAGGTGATCGCTTCCAGGTGCCTTCC